TTTTTTGAGACAGTCTCATTCTGTTACCCAGGCTGAAGTGCAGTGGTGTGATTATGGCTCACTGCAGCCTTAAACTCCCAGACTCAAACAATTCTCCTGCCTCTCAGCCTTATAGTAGCAGGGACTACAGGTGCAAACAACCATGCTCAGCTGGTTTTTTCATAAGAAAGATAAACTTAGAGAGAAAGACAAGGAAAAGGAAAGGCCCTTTGAGCTTCTATGGGTAACAAATTGAGGGAAGGCAAATATATGGGGAGCTGATGATGGATAAGGGCTAGTCAGTAGGTTTGTTTATGTAGACTCTTTCTCAGTGCCATTTTATCTCTGGTGATAAGTTGTTTTCTTCCTGGTATGTAACCATAAGAGATTTGTTTCCTGATGCACTCAACAAGTCAATATACTGAGATACCAGTTACAGCAGAGAAAGAGTTTTAATTGCAGGGCTGCAAGCAAGGAGACAAGAGGAAACCTCAAATCCATCTCCCCAAGGAGTTTGGGGTTAGAGATTTTAAGGGTTTTGCAGTGGACTAAAGTGTGGAGACCGTTGATTGGTAGAAAAGTATAGGATGAAGCCATGGGAGGAGATGAATAAAATGTATATATAGTTAGCTAGGGTCTCAGTCTGTCTCCCAGGCTGGAGTACAGTGGCACAACCACAGTTTAATGCAGCCTTGACCTCCTGGGTTCAAAGAAACTGTATTCTCATGTTGATTCATTTCCTTCATGGGGGCTCTTCAAACTTTCAAGTTGTTCCACTGGAGTTCAGAATCTGCTTAAGCACTTTTTTTTTGAGAGACTGTCTCACTCTTTTGCCAGGCTGAGTGCAGTGGCACAATCACAGCTCACTGCGGCCTTGACCTCCTGGGCTCAAGCAATCCTCCCAACTCAGCCTCCTGAGTAGCTGGGACTGTTACAGGTAGTTAAATAGGCATATGTAGGCAGGACAGGGTTCTTCTTCCACACCCACTAGAAATATCAGATGATGGTTCAACAATTATCATACTCCCTCTCTAAAAATGACAATTTGGCAGCCAGTGACAGGGAAGAACAATCTCCTGATGATACACAGCTATTAACATTAAAGTATTAGGGTGCTGTGGCTCATGCCTGTAATCCCAGGACTTTGGGTGGCTAAAACAGGCAAATTTCCTGAGGTCAGGAGTTTGAGAACAGCCTAGCCAACATGACAAAACACTGTCTCTACTAAAAATACCAAAAAATTAGCCAGGCATGGTGGTGCACACCTGTAATCCCAGCTCTTCAGGAGGCTGAGGCACAAGAATCACTTGAACCTAAAGGCAGAGTTTAAAGTGAGTCATGATGGCACCACTGCACTCCAGGCTGGGTGAAGGAGTAAAACTCTGTCTCAAAAAAAAAAAAAATGCTGGGCAAGGTGGTTTGTGCCTGTAATCCCAGCACTTTGGGAGGCCAAGGCAGGTGGATCACTTGAGGTCAGGAGTTCAAGACCAGCCTGACCCACCTGGTGAAACCCCATCTTTATCAAAAAATACAAAAATTACTTGAGCTTAGTAGTATATTCCTACAGTCCCAGCTACTCAGGAGGCTGAGGTGGGAGAATTGCTTGAACCTGGGAGGCAGTGGTTGCAGTGAGCCAAGACTGTGCAACTGCACTCCAGCCTAGGTTACAGAGTGACATTATGTCTTAAAAATAAAACAAATAAACAAAAAAAAAACATTAAAGTGTTAACTGATGCCAGGGAAAAGCAACTTCCTGGGCATCTTTTGAGCAATGCTGAGTGTAGTGGCACAATCACAGCTCACCACAGCCTTGACCATCTGGACTCAAGCAATCCTCCCAACTCAGAGGATTGAGACAAAATGGTGAAGTATGACCTTCCATGGACACCCCACTGGAAAAGGGAAGAAAACTTCAGATGAGCATGCATACAACTGCCTAAACACACTGCATATGCTCACTTCCCCAGGGTAAGAAGGGCACTGCACATGCAGACAGCCCACCCTAAGGGAAGAATCATGGGAAAGAGGCAAGCCGATTGATATGGTTTGGCTCTGTGTCCGCACCCAAATCTCATCTTGTAGCTCCCATAATTCCCAACAGTTGTGGGAGGGACCTGGTAGGAGATGACTGAATCATGAGGATGGGTCTTTCCTGTTTTGTTCTCATGACACTGAATGGGTCTCACAAGATCTGATGGTTTTAAAACTAAGAGTTTTAAACTGTGCACAAGCTCTCTCTTACTGCCATCATGTGAGAAGTGTCTTTCCCCTTCCACCATGAGTGTGAGGCCTTCCGAGCCATGTACAACTTAAACCTCTTTCTTTTGTAAGTTTTCCCAGTCTTGGGTATATTTTTATCAGCAGCATGAAAACAAACTAATATGGTAAATTGGTACCGGTAGAGTGGGCCGTTGCTGAAAAGGTACCCAAAAATGGGCCGGGAGCTGTGGCTTATACCTGTAATCCTAGCACTTTGGGAGGCCAAGCCAGGAGAATCATTTGAGATCAGATGTTCGAGACCAGCCTGGCCAACATGGTGAAACCCCATCTCTACTAAAAAATTTTTAAAAATGAGCCAGGCATGCTGGTGGGCACCTGTAATCCCAGCTACTGGGAGGCTGAGGCAGGAGAATCGCTTGAATCCAGGAGGCAGAAATTGCAGTGAGACGAGACTGCACCACTACACTCCAGCCTGGGTGATTGAGCTAGACTCCATCTCAAAAAAAAAAAAAAAGCCCAAAAATGTGAAAGTGACTTTAGAAGTAGGTAATGGGCAGAGGCTGAAAGAGTTTGGAGGGCTCAAAAGAAGACAGGAAAATGTAGGAAAGTTTGGAACTTTGTAGCTTGTAGGAAAATGTAGGAAAGTTTGGACTTGTTGAATGGCTTTGGCAAAAATGCTGATAGTGATACGAGCAATAAGGTCCAGGCTGAGGGTGGTCTCAGAAGGAGATGAGGAACTTGGGAACTGGAGCAAGGGTGACTCTTGTTATGTTTTAGCAAATAGATTGGCAGCATTTTGTCCTTGCCCTAAAGATTTGTGGAGCTTTGAACTTGAGAGAGATGATTTAGGGTATCTGGTGGAAGAAATTTCTAAGGAGCAACACATTCAAAAGATTATTTACATACTGTTAAAGGTATTCAGTTTCAAAGGGGGAGCAGAGCATAAAAGTTCAGAAAATTTGCAGCCTGACAATGCAAATAGAAAAAAAATTCTATTTTCTGAGGAGAAATTCAAGCTGGCTGCAGAAATTTGCATAAGTAATGAGGAGCTGAATGTTAATAACCAATACAATGGAAATGTCTCCAGGGCATGTCAGAGACCTTTGTGGCAGCCCCTCCCATCACAGGCCTGGAGGCCTAGGAGGAAAAAGTTATTCTGTGGGCTAGGCACAGGGTCTGTAAGCCGTATGCAGCCTAGGAACTTAACGCTCTGAGTCTCAGCTGCTCCATTCATGGCGGATAGGGGCAAATGTAGAGTTTGGGCCATGGCTTCAGAGGGTGCAAGCCTCAAGCCTTAGCAGCTTCCACGTGGTATTGAACCTGCAAGTGCACAGAAGTCAAGAATTGAGGTTTGGGAGCCTCCACCTAGATTTCAGAAGATATATGGAAATGCCTGGATGCCCAGGCAGAAGTTTGCTGTAGAGGCAGGATCCTCATGGAGAACCTCTGCTAGGGCAGTGCAGAAGTAAAATGTGGGGTGGGGTCCCCCAAACAGTCCCTACTGGGGTACCACCTCGTGGAGCTATGAGAAGAGGGCCACTGTCCTCCAGACCCCAGAATGGTGGCTCCACTGCCAGCTTCCACTGTGCACCTGGGAATACTGCAGACATTCAATGCCAACCCATGAAGGCAGCCAGGAGGAAGGCTGTATGCTGTAAAGCCACAGGGCAGAGCCACCCAAGACTATGGGAACCTACCTCTTACATCAGTATGACCTGGATGTGAGACATGGAGTCAAAGGAGATCATGTCGGAGCTTTGAGATTTAACTGCCCTGCTGGATTTTGGACTTGCATGGGGCCTGTAGCCCCTTTGTTTTGGCCAATTTCTCCCATTTGGAATGGCTGTATTTACCCAATGCAAGTACTGCCATTGTATCTAGGAAATCACTCAATTGCTTTTGATTTTACAGTCTCATAGGTGGAAGGGACTTGCCTGGTCTTGGATGAGACTTTGGACTGTGGACTTTTAAGTTAATCCTTGGGGGACCATTGGGAAGGCATGATTGGTTTTGAAATGAGAATATAGAAGATTTGGAAAGGGCCAGGGGCAGAATAATATGCTTTGGCTCTGTGACCCCACCCAAATCTCATTTTGTAGCTCCCATAATTGCCACGTGTGGGAAAGACCTGGTGGGAGTTGATCCAGTCATGGCTGTGGGTCTTTCCTCTGCTGTTCTCATGATAGTGAATGGGTCTCATGAGGTATGATGGTTTTAAAAATGCAAGTTTCTCTGCACAAACTCTCTCTTGCCAGCACCATGTAATAAGTGACTTTCACCTTCTGTCATGATTGTGAGCCCTCCCCAGCCATGTCGAACTGTAAGCCCATAAACCTCTTTATTTTGTAAATTGTCCAGTCTCAGGTATGTCTTTATCAGCAGCATGAAAACAGACTAACACACCTATAAAGTCCTAGGATCAAGGTTAAACGCCTCACTTGAACTTCAGGTGCCCAAGTGGATCTCTTCCAAGTGAATTTTCCTTTCTTTCCTTCTAAAGCCTTTAAAATAAACTTTCACTCCTGCTCTGAAACTCATCTCTGTCTCTTCTTCTGCCTTGCGCTCCTCAGTTGAATTCTTCCTTCTGAGGAGACATGAAGTTTCTTCAGACCCATACAAACTCACTGCCAGTAACTCAGATACCTTCTGTTATATGCGAATTTTCGGTGCTGCAAAAGAAGTAGCACTCAAATATAAATTTAATTTTCTCAGCAAGGCAACTTTACTTTCTGCAGAAAGGGTCCTCCCATTAGCTATCTGCCATGAGAGAATCCTGAACAAAGGAGGCAGGGCCACTTATATCTAACGCATCCACCCTACTTCTGTGTCCTGATTCCATTGGCTGGAACTGGATTTCACAGTCTAGGCTGCACATGGTTGGCTAACAACTTAAAACTTTCCTAAGTGGTCATGCTGCCTGCTCTCCAGCCAGGGCTCTGGGCTCCAGCATCTGCTCGGCAGCAGCCTCCCCTCCGACCAGCCCATCAGGACCCAGGAGACCAAGCCGAGCCTGTGTCTCTGGCCAGGCCATGAGCACAGCCGCATGATGCATCCCTGCCTCGACCACTGCAGGTCGCCGCAGCAGGCGAGGAGGAGCCACAGAACCGGGCAATGCCACCCCAGCCTCGGATCTGATCACGTAGGGCAGTATGCACCTTAAGATCCTGAAGAAAAGGCACAAAATGTTCAAGTGATGTTTCTAAAGGACATGTGAGGGTGCATCAGGGAAATCATGCAGCCATCAGGACACAGACTCCAGGACATCGAGCATCGTTCTCTCCTGGCTGAAAATGACAACTATGACTCTTCATATTCCTCCTTCTCTGAGGCTGGTGTGGCTGACAGGGTCTGGTTCATCCTTGACAGCTGCAGCATGATCTGTGCTGTCATAATATGGCTTCTGGTCGCCTATGCAGACTTCGTGGTGACTTTTTCCATGCTGCTGCCTTCCAAAGATTTCTGGTACTCTGTGGTCAATAGGGTCATCTTTTTTTTTCAGATGACCAATTTGTATTTATTATAGGACCAGAGTATATAGAACTGAGTGGCCTTGGAGGCAGCTCAGGGCATTGAACTTAGCACTTGATTCTTTTTTTTTTTTAATTGTACTTTAGGTTCTGGTGTACATGTGCCAATTATTTGGAATTGTTGCATAGGTACATATGTGGCAATGTGGTTTGCTGCCTCCATCCTCCCATCACCTATATCTGGCATTTCTCAATGGGGTCATATTTAACTGATTGGCTATGCTCGCCCTGTTATCCCACCTGAGAACCATGCTCAGTGACCCTGGGCAGTACTCAAAGGAAACACTACAAAAGAATACATGGATAGCCTGCAGCTGAAGCCTGAAAGGTGATCTACAAGTGCTCCAAGTGCTGCTACATTAAACCAGAGTGTGCCCACCACTGCAGTATTTGCAAAAGATATATTCAGAAAATGGATTATCACTGCCTGTGGGAGAACAATTATGTAGGAAAAAAGAATCAAAGGTTTTTTGTGCTCTTCACTGTGTATGTAGCTCTGTCTTCAGTCCATGCTCTGATCCTCTGTGGATTCAGTTTATCTCCTGCGTCCAAGGGCAGTGGACTAAATGCAGTGACTTTTCACCTCCGATAACTGTAATTCTGTTGATCTTCCTGTGCCTTAAAAGTCTTCTGTTTTTCACTTTTATTACAGTTATGTTTGGCACTCAAATCCACTCCATAAGCAATGATGAGACGGAAATTGAGCAATTGAAAAGTGAGAAGCTCACATGAGGGCAGAGACTGTGATGGGAAGGGATGAAGTCTGTGCTTGGGGAATCCCCCCTCACTCCTCTGGATGAATCCCTTTGTCGGCTTCCACTTTAGGTGGCTGCCCACGAGACCCAGAAAAGGTGGCCCAGAGTTCTCAGTGTGAGGCCTGGCTTGTCAGGCTGGAACTTGCTCACAGACTTCCACTCATTTATTTGGGGTCTGAAGGGGATCAGCAGCTCATCTGTGACCAACAGGGCAACTGGAACCTACACAAACCAACTGCTTGCAGCAAGCAGTTTCATATATTTCTAGTCACAGATGGCAGATTCTCCACACTGGAAGAGGCGCTCAGTCCCCACCTGTACAACAATGACAGAAAGGTGTGTGGCCATGCAAAGAAGTCAAATGTCATGGCCCTCCTGTGGAGTTAGGATTTTTGTTAAGAATACCTCACATTTTCTAAGAAGTTGTCTGGGTTATTACATGCGTTGTTCAAATCCTGTGTACTGAGCTGCTGTTTCAAATCATGAAGGAAAACAGTCAATCCAGTGAACAGGTATTCTCCAAGCAGTCATTTCAGGGGGCTCCTGCTGATCCCCACTCAGCAGTGCATTCCCTGGACCACAGCAGGGCGTTTACATAGTAAGACATTTTGGTTTCTATTAGCTCTGATGTTTTGCACTGAATTTGCAAAAGATCTGTGCACTGAACAGTGAAGGTGACTTCTGGCACATTCTCCACTGCCCTGGAAGAGACATCCTTTGATCCTCTCAGCAATTGTATGTGTGCATGTGTCTGTGCATGTGTGCCTCAAAATTGGCAGTGTTGTTTAGGTAGTGTAACATGTCCTGGCTGTGTACACCAAAAGCTATCTTTTAGAAACCAATGTTTCAGGGAAGAGTGGCTGTGGGGTCCTCCCCGTGGTTACTATGAATGTATTGCTATTGAAAGACATCTCAATCCAAAGAACAGTCGTTCCTGTGCAGCCCTTCATTGCCGCCCTGCTTTAATTTCTTAAGGAAATCTTGAGTGCTTGAGGGCCTTGGAACTGATTTGTTGTTGTTGTTCCAGCCAAATTAGCAGTGTCTAAATAGCACCTGGGGCAGGGTAGAGCCTCAGTGACCTGATCCATTGGGCAGCTCAAAGCTGTTGGTGTGTGTGGCAGGGGAGGCATCCCAACTGGAGAGGCAGGGCTCAGCCCTTGGGCACCTATGGGAAAGTGAGGGGATTATGAGGCAGCCAGCCCCTGGCAAGGGTGATTGTGCCACCAGCAAGCAGCGCTCAGGCCAGGAATGGTCAGGATAGAGACCTCATGTTGGATTTTTTTTTTTTTTTTTTTTTTTGTTAGCTGTTATGTTTTCTTCTCTACCCATGGCACAGGAGATAAAATAGGATCCTTGGTGTGGAACTTAAACTTATGCCAGAAAGCCAACAGCTCACCTCCGTGGGGACTTGCCTTAACTTTGCCTGGTTTGTACATTTTTAGCTGGATGCATCAAGAAGCAATCTGTGACAAAGTCCGAGGGTCTTCCTTTAAGCATGCGCTCCATGCTAAGAGAAGTTGGCGTCCCCCTCCTGGAAACTGTTTTGCCTTTCTGTTCATCTGTGAACTGTTTTTTGTTTTTAATTACTCTGTACCCCATCTGAATCAGGGCTTCTACTGCTGCTGATGCAAAACCACAAAGGGTCCTACCTGAGCCAACGTCCTAGCCAAGAGCAAACCTGCAGGGGGTTTGGAAGTGGACTCAGTCACCGCAGAAGCCTGTGCACCATTAGGGGAAGAAGTGCATCACAGCCAGAGGGACAAAGCATAGATTGTCTGTGATCCTGGAGACGCGAGTTTCCAGAGACTGTTTTGCATATTTATTTGCACATTGTTGTCTGGGTTGGACATGTGTATAGGCTTCAGTGTGAGGCTTTAAATATGTATATCCTGTTATCAATAAAAAAATTATCCAAGTGGCTGAATCCTGTGTAACTTGGCAAGTGTGTGCAAATCAAATATACTTGACTTTTCAATCTCTTCTTTTAATGTAACTTTTCTATGAAATAAAGTAATCTATTGACAGTTCTAAAAACAAACAAACAAACAAAAAACAACTTTCCTAAAGATGTAAAGGCAGAGGAGAACAAAGGAAAAGAGGAAGTAACTTGAGGGATGCTAAGAGAAGCGGTAACATTTCCAAATAAGGAAGGCAAATAAGCTATATCTAAGACTTGCCTGGGCTTGTCTAGGCATCTCAGAGCAAATATCATATACTTATTTCTTCATTATAACTAAGAGCTACTTTATTAGCAAAAGCTTTAAAATAAATTAACCTTTGGCCAGAAGATCCAAGATGGCCCTTTAGGAGCAGCTCAGGATTGCAGCTCCCAGTGAAAGCACAGAGGGTGAGTGGATGCTGCATTTCCAGATGGATCTTTATTGCCCACAGACCAGGAGATTCCCAGGCAGAGGAGCCCCAAAGGTCGCCAGTACGGCTGTTTTGGCCAGCACGGCTGTTTTGCCGGTGCCCACAGCAGTTCTCCATACAAAATACACTGGTCTGGTTGCCCTTTTAAGCTGGTGATTGGAGCTCCAGGAAGGCAGAGTCGCCCATTCATCTGATTAAACAGGGGACTGAAACAGGGAGCCAGGCCAGGAGATTCCCAGGCAAAAAAGCGCCACAAATTTCAGCGCCATTGTTTCAGCTGGTGCAGTGGGTCGCCGCATGGGAAATCACACAGATCCTAGTGCATTTTTAGCAGACGACTGGAACACCTGGGAGTCAATTGTTCAACTTTAAAAAAAAAGGCTCTGAGGCAGAGAGCCATGTGATCAGGCTCGGCAGATCCCACCCCAACAACAACAACAAAAAAAAACAGCAATTGGAAACACCCTGGGTTGAGAGTTTCACAGCAACCACAGCTGAACCCAGGACAGTTCAGCTCTGTGGGAGAGGGGTGTTCGCCATTACCGAGGCACTCCACCCCTATGGAGGCAGTCCACCATTGCAGAGTCAGCCTGCCATTGCTGAGGCAACCCACCATTACAGAGAGAGTCAGCCATTACTGAGGTGGGCCACCATCACTGAGGCAGTTCTAACCACACCCATATAAACAGGACTGCAGGGAAGTTCACACGGCAGCTGGGTGGACCCATAGCAGCTCAGCAAAGCCTCTGCAGGCAGACAGGGACTAGGCTGCCTCCCTGCTTGGCAGAGCAGCCCTGAAAAAAAAGGCAGCAGCACAATGGAAACTCATAAAGCCCTAACTCCCTGGAACAGAGCACCTGTGGAAAAAAGGGGGTTTATGAGTTCTGCTGCAGCAGACTTAAACGTACCTGCCTAGCAGCTCTGAACAAACAACGGAGCCCACAGTTCAGCACTTGAGATCCTATAAAGGACAGACTGTCTCCTCAAGCAGCTCCCTGACCCCCATATATCCAAAGAGTCACCTCACAAAGGACTGATCAGACTGACATTTGGCAGGCATCATTCTGGGACAAAGATAGCAGAAGAAGAAACTGTTAGCAACCCTTATTGTTCTGCAGCTGCTGCAGGTGATCCCCAGGCAAGCAGAGCCTGGAGTGGACCTCAGCAGTCCTACAGGAGAGGGGCCAGACTGTTAGAAGGAAAACTAAGAAACAGAAATAACTTCATCATCAACAATCTGGACATCCACTCAGAGACCCAATCTGAAAATCAGCAATTACAAAGACGACAGGTGCATAAATCCACAAAGATGGGAAGAAACCAGTGCGAAAAGGAGGAAAACACCCAAAACCAGAACACCTCTCCGCCTACAAGGGATCACAACTCCTCAACAGCAAGGGAACAAGACTGAATGGAGAATGAGTGTGATGAAATGACAGAATCAGACTTCAGAAGGTGGGTAATGAGAAACTTCCGTGAGCTAAAAGAACATGTTCTAACTCAATGCAAAGAAACTAAGAACGTTGAAAAAAGATTTGATGAAATGCTAATGAGAATGGACAACTTAGAGAAAAATATAAGTGAATTGATGGAGCTGAAAAACAGAACACGAGAATTTCACGAAGCATGCACAAGTTTCAACAGCCGAATTGACCAAGCAGAAGAAAGGATATCAGAGGTCGAAGATCAACTCAAGGAAATAAAACAAGAAGTCAAGATTAGAGGAAAAACTGTAAAAAGGAATGAACAAAGTCTCCAAGAAATATCGAACTATGTGAAAAGACCTAATCTACGTTTGATAGGTGTACCTGAATGTGATGGAGAAAAACGAATCCAAGTTGGAAAATACTCTTCAGGATATTATCCAGGAAAACTTCCCCAACCTAGCAAGGCAGACCAATATTCAAGTCCAGGAAATACAGAAAACACCACAAATATATTCCTCAAGAAGAGCAACCCCAAGGCAGATAATCGTCAGATTCACCAGGGTTGAAATGAAGGAGAAAATGCTAAGGGCAGCCAGAGAGAAAGGTCAGGTTACCCACAAAGGAAAGCCCATCACACTCACAGCAGATCTCTCAGCAGAAACCCTACAAGCCAAAAGAGAGTAAGGGACAATATTCAACATCCTTAAAGAAAAGAACTTTCAACCCAGAATTACATATCCAGCCAAACTAAGCTTCATAAGTGAAGGAAAAATAAAATCCTTCATGAAGAAGCAAGTACTCAGAGATTTTGTCACCACCAGACCTGCTTTACAAAAGCTCCTGAAAGAGGCACTACACATAGAAAGGAACAACCAGTACCAGCCACTCCAGAAACATACCAAATGGTAAAGAGCATCAACAAAATGAAGAATCTGCATCAACTAACAGGCAAAACAACCAGCTACCATCAAAATGGCAGAATCAAATTTACACATAACAATATTAACCTTAAATATAGATGGACTAAATGCCCCAATCACAAGACACAGACTGGCAAATTGGATAAAAAGCCAAAACCCATCGGTGTGCTGTATCCAGGAAACCCATCTCACATGCAAGGATACACAAAGGTTCAAAATAAAGAGATGGAGGAAGATTTACCAAGCAAATGGAGAGCAAAAAAAAAAAAAAAGCAGGAGTTGCAATTCTCATCTCTGATAAAATAGACATTAAAGCAACAAAGATCAAAAGAGACAAAAAAGGACATTACATAATGGTAAAAGGATCGATACAACAAGAAGAGCTAATGATCCTAAATATATATGGACCCAATACATGAGCACCCAGATACATAAGGCAAGTTCTTAATGACTTACAAAGAGATTATACACTCACACAATAATAGCGGGAGACTTTAACACCCCATTGTCAATATTAGACAGATCAACCAGATAGAAAATTAACAAGGATATCCAAGACTTGAACTCAGACCTGGAACAAGCAAACCTGATAGATGTTTACAGAACTCTCCACCCCAAATCCACAGAATATACATTCTTCTCAGCACCACATCACACCTACTCTAAAATTGACTACATAATTGGAAGTAAACCACTCCTCAGCAAATGCAAAAGAACGGAA